TGGTTGGATGGATCCATTCTCAAGTTACAGAGTAAGGGATTCAATTATCTCGTCCCCACAGACGGCGCCAAATGTGAGGGATAAAACTCACTTCCTTATTTAGATCAGGTTTAGATTGGAGAAAAGATAACGTGGCTGAATCCCGTTAGAACTTTGTACAATGAATATAATTGTATTGAATGTTTTTGGTGAAGAATGATTACAAAGATGATTCTGATGATTACAAAGAATTACGAGAATGATTTGTGAACTAGAATGTGTGTAAAAATAGTTGAATGAACGAATAGAGAGAGAGACCTTCTTCTCCATCTTGCTTCTCTTTAAATAGCCTCAAGCCACGTTTGACTGATCCTAACCAACCTCCGGGATTTGCTCCGTGAGTTGGGGGATTCTCAACAGTCTCCTTTTGACCGGGTCCTGCGCATCCAGCCTGGGCTACTCCTGTTAGCTCTTTGCGAATGAGGTCTGGAGCTCTTTCCCGTGGCCTATTTTGTTAACGTTTCTTCCTCAGCAAACAGCCTCCGGCTTCTTTTAACTCTTTTCTCAAAAGATTAATTGTTAATGGGCTTATAGTGGCCCATTGTCGACTCTTACAGCTTGAGCCCATTAGTCTCAGCTAGCGGGCCATATTTGGGCCCAACAGCGATCCTGAGAAAAGTAAAATAACAACCCCCTTAACTAGATGGATGCAATACACTCAGGCTTAGCTTCCTACTTTCGATTCATAAAAATGCAATAATGTTCAAGCACCACAACTCGCTTGCATTATTACAAAAAAAAAGAGACATACAATCTAAGAAAACCATGAACCATTGCTCTTATACTCTATATGAACATCATATCTCTACACATAAACATCGTTTCTTCTACACATGCTTAAGAACTAGTCCTATCGCAAGCTTATTCTTAGCAAAATTATAAAGCTAAACAACAGAATGACAACACCCAAGTATAAGAGACAATAATCCATTGGTCATACGAACCCCATGTCCGAAAAAATCATCAATCTTATACCAAATCATAAACTGATGTTCTGGGACCCGCCTTGTTCGAAAACTTGGGTACGCCGGTAGATAGAGTGGGTGGATTCAGAAATAGGATTTTCCTCATGCCGGTTTCTGATGATTGATATCAAAAACCCTAGAGGAACCACACCGAGATTTAGGATTTGATTTCTCTCAATCCAATTCTGTGAAAGTTTGTGAAAGGAAAATGCGTGCCTTTGACAACCGATTGATCACCGTCGTCGGAGAAAACAGAGAGAAGAGAGAAAAACGCGAGAAAGAGAAAAGAGAGAGAAAGGAAAAAAGGAAAAATAAAATTGAGGATTGTCCACATGCTGACACGTGCACTCTCTCTTAAACTACGGATCGGTCACGAAAATACCAAATTACGGATCGGTAACTACAATTTCATTTAGTTTTGATTTAATTTAATGATATAATTGTTCTAAGAACCTACTTTAGAAACCGCAATAATGATGCTCTAAGATTCTTGCTAATAAAACAAATGTTGTATTGATCCAAGGAAAGTAATACAAGCTACTGTATTCTCTCTCTCTCTCTTGTAACTATCCAAATCATACATAATCCTCACCTCATTATTCTCTCTCTACTTATAGTCTAAGAAAGGACCTATATGTCACACACGACAAGCCATGTGCGTCCGTTACTCTCACGTGAGAGTGATCTTCCTCCTCTCCAAGTCATTATTGCGGTTTCTAAAGTAGGTTCTTAGAAAAATTATATCATTAAATTAAAGTGCTTACTTGAAACTCTTATGCACCTGATGCTCCTCCAGTACAAACTTTCTCAAGTATATCGTCTCCTTCCTTGCCCATAGCTTTCCACAAAGATTTGAGTGATACTTGAGCAGATAAAAAAATGGGATCTCCCTGGATGGTGATTGTCTCTCCTCCCAGTTGAAACTTCATCAGTTGGAGCTTCCAGTTATTTCTTGTCTCTCCTAGAGTTTCCAACCATTGTACTCCTAGGATAACATCAGCGATTCCCAACTCAAGAGGTAAGAACTGTTAAGTCACTACACATGTAGGTAACACAAGCTCGACTTTTTCACAAATTCCTTTTCCTTTCACCGTCATACCAGCTCCCACCATGAATCCATAACCTCGACAAACCCCTCGCTTGAGCCCTAGCCTCCGCACCAGACTCTCCGAAATAAAGTTATGAGTCACGCTGCTGTCGATTAAGACCACCACTTCCACTTTATTAATCGTTCCCTTGAGATTGATTGTACGAGGTTAAGAGATTCTCACCACAGAATTTACTGATAGCTCCGCTACCTCAGTCATCTCTCCTTCCTTGAACTCGTTGTGCTCGGTTGGTTCGTTGTGAATCTTCGTCTCCTTACCGTTCTCGTGAACCAGAAATACCATCAACTCCTTCCGATTACACACATGAGGATATACAAATTTCTCATCACACTTGTAACAGAGGTCTTGTCTCTTCCACATCGCGTACTCCGCCGGTGTCAACCATCGGTACGGGGATTTCAATCGGTCGTGAGAAGTCGACGTTTGATTCTGATTAGGTTACGTCGTCGTAGGTGTTTGTGTTGTTGAGTTTGGGCTTTGGGCTTAAATGCGTTGTGCTTTTGATTCTCATTTATCCCGCTATGCCCTTTACTCACATGCAGCCTGGCCTCTTTAGAGTTCTCTCTCGTTGACCCTTTTTCCGATTCTACCTCCGACGTCATGCACTCCTCCACCGCCTTGGCCAAACTCATCATCTTCTTAAGAGTTTTTTGGCTCAAACATCCGTACTTCCGTTCTGATCTTGGCTTTTAAGCCAATCATAAAGGCCATCTCCAATATTGACTCAGAAATCTCCGGTGCGTTTGTCGCTAACGCCACAAAATCTCGAATGTATTCCCTCACCGTACTGGTTTGTCGGAGAGTGAGTAAGCGTTCTCCGAGAAATGCTCCAGAACCCTAACCTCATCTGCTCCCAACTAGTAAACAGGTTTCTTCCCTGTTCCCACCGATACCACATCAATGCCTCTCCTTCGAAGCACATCCGTACAGCTTTGAGCTTGTGTTCCTCCATGAACTCCTCAAGCTCGAAATACTGTTCCACTCGTACGACCCAGCTTTCCGCGTTCTCACCATCGAACAGAGGGATCTTGATTCGACGTGCTAACGACTGGTTTTTTCTCCGTCACACTCTGTTGATCGAGTCAGATACCACCGGTGCATATACACTGATTTTTTTTCTGTTTCTCGTCCTTCAGGGTCCTTCACCGTCGACGAAGAAGCGAACCTGTAAGAGCTTCTTTCTCCTCCACCGAACAGCTCCTCCCCGTCCTTCTCTTCCTCCAACGCACTTTCTCCTATCTGATGCATCTTCCCTTTCACCTTCGCGATCATCCGCTGTTTCTCCTCTTCCCCTTCCAAAAACTGCTGTCTCATCGGCTCCAGGAAAGAAAGCTTCTCGTCCAACGTCTGTTGTAAAGCACTCATAGCCAGCTCCAGGGATTTCACTCTCTCCCCTCGCTGCTTTTGCTCCAACAGCTCTGTCGACATCTGCTTCATCTCCTGTTGCATTTTTTCCAGCACTGGATCGGCCTCAGGTTTCTTTGGCGGCATGATTACTCAGGAATCGTACTGCTCTGATTCCAATTTGATACGAGTTTGGTGTCAAAGTTGTAAGATTCTTGATAATAAAACAAACGTTGTATTGATCCGAGGAAAGTAATACAAGATAATGTTTTCTCTCTCTCTTGTAACTACCCAAATCATACATAATCCTCACTTCATTATTCTCTCCCTACTTATAGTCTAAGAAAGAACCTATACGTCACACACGACAAGCCATGTGCGTTCATTACTCTCACGTGAGAGTGATCTTCCTCCTCTCCAAGTCTTTATTCTCCACTTGCTTACTTCTCGATACCTCTAACCAACTTAACCGTTTCCTCAAACCGAACCAATGCTTTCCTGGTCTGCTTCCTTGAAACTGTTCTCTTATATTGATAAAGGATAGGTGGATGAGTCACAGCATACGTATCATGTAACTGTCTTTAGTTTAAAGATTTTTTGGCTGTCGGAAATAGATGTTTCTAAAGATGGGTACAAAAAGAGTTAAAACAGCAGTTGTATAGTTTCTTTCCCGCTAGTAGTTGATGTCAATCTTATCGTCGTAGGTCTAAATGTTAAAGGCTGGTCACTCATGTTTTATAAACTTACTTGTAACTGTAGGAGGTGTAACCTACGTACCTACATAGTTACGATTGGTGTGTTCCAATCGTTGATAGCAACATGTCTAAAGCTTGAGAAGCATTGACTTGTAAATGAGTCTGTTTTCTCACTACGTGCCTTAAAAGTTCCTGGTTATATGATTATAAATTATTGAAGTGTTTTGTTGGTTTGTAAGGCGCGCGGAAGTTATCAACCGTGAGTAGAGGCTTAAGTGATGTGAAATATATTTATTTGATTTTTTTAAATGTTTGGTTTTGTTATAAAGAATGTGAATACGTTGAGTGTTAGCTAAACTAGTCGACGAATTTGCTTTTATCCCACTCTCCGCACTATCTTGTGGTGTAGTTATTGGAGCTTGGTGCGTGGTAAAATGTCTTTGTAATTATCGACACTTTAATTTTGATTTGTTAACATCAAACAAACCATATTTATGAAGAATTAATAAGAATTTCATATCTCGAATAATAGATGTTCCGACGTAAGAGAGAAAAAACTCAAGTTCGATTAAAACACATATTGACAAATATGAGGTAGAAATTTGAAAATATAAGATTGATCACTATAAGCGATTTAAACAATATGATCTCGGGGTTATAGATAGAGCTGAATCAAAAATATAATGTAAAACATATCCGTACAAACAACTAAAATGAGTTGGTTGGTCTAATATAGAGGAAGACTAAAAGGGGTTTGTTTTGTTGGTAAGACAAAAGATTAGTTTTGTAGCATATTAAGTATAATGTTTCACCTTGTCAGCGAAATCAGGAAGCTCTGATCGTTCTCCATGGCGGTGGCGCAGCCATATCTCCTGGTCATAGAGAGGGAGGTCACGGTGAAGTCATCCAATGAAAGAGTGGCCACATTAAATCTGTTGGAACCGTGTAAGCTAGAGACGGTGAAGATACCCGGGAAGACTCTCTTGACGGAGCTTGGTAAGTCGCTGAGGATAAGTTCGTCCAAGGGAAGGGTGGCTCTAATAAAACTCAAACTTGAAAATGAGTCTCACCAATCTCTTTAACCATTCTCCTGCCTCTTCACCACCAATAATATCAACAATACCACTGCTCCAATGTCTCTCTCGCAGCCTCCCCAAACCAACGTGACTGTGTAGTGGCTGCTAACTTGTTTGCTCCACTCAACAGTCTGTGTCGTCCTGGTGACTCACACATCGAGACCCCAAACGCTTTCTTCACTTCGGTGGCGATGCATTCTATGAAAGACCAAAGATTCTATCTCCACTCCTTGGATACGGCTCCCACTGATCTGATCAAGACTTGCTCTGCTGACTTCCCTCCAGTGAGTCCTTACAGAAGGTTCATTTTTTCTAACATCCCCGAGATCACACAAGATTTGTATCAGTACTTGGTCGAGTGACTCTTTCATCATTTTTTTGTAACTAATTTTCTCCTTTCCTGTTTTTTTGCTATTATTACACCTACAGACAAGAAATATAAAAATTTATGTCTCCCATTGATGAAGGTGTATGGATGGTGGTAAGGTAGAAAAAGAGACGTCAAGACTCTAGTGCGACACGAAGGGCTTTATTGTTGATATGAAGAAATAAAAAAGATCAGTAGTAATAAAGCAAAGTGCAATGAAGTGCAGCAAAAAGCAGTGAAGTACAGTGAAGTGCAGTGAAGTACAACGAAATGCAGTGAAATGCAATAAAATGTAGTGAAGTCTGGAAAGAAAAATAACACAAGAAAGAAGTTGAGGAGACTCAATATGGACATTGGAAGCTTCCAGAAGTAAAGGAAATAAAGTTTGGATGGAAGTACTCAGTTCTAGTTTGAATTAGACAAGAAGAACTCACATGGTTGCTTAGGAGAAGCAACTGACCTGTCATTTTGTACCTGAAAGGACTGTGCCTGTCACTCTCACTCTCTCTGGTTGAGCCAGCCTTGGCCAAATCCTCCTTTTCATCACCAGATACCCCACAATAGAATTTGTTTAGTAAAACCCTATTTTACTATTAGGTTAATGTGTGTATTTTTCTATTTAAGACATTGTTGTATTAGATTGTAAACTACGCAGATGAGTTCTCTAGCTTCAGCTATTCTCCGGTTCTTCATTCTCATTAATCTCTTATACTCTCTAGTTACTAAATCTCTCAAGCAATCTCCCAAATCTCTCTTATTCTCCAATACTCTCCATTGCAGTCTCTTTGATTCTCACTTACTCTCTTTATTCTTTTCTCTACCACTCTCTGTTGTAAACACCACTCACACACCATAATCTGTCTATTTTCACATGGTATCAGAACCTTGTTTCTCTTCTTTGGGATCAAACTCACCTCTTTTCTCTCTGTATTTTGAATAAATCTTTTCTCTCTCACTCTGATATAGTGTTAGCTTGGTCAGTACTTGTTAGTATCTCTAATTCTCTGATTCTCAGTTTACTTATTCTCCATCATTCTCCTATTCTCTGGCTACTAATACTCTGATTACATCATTCTCTACTCTCCATTTATTCTCTGGTTGTGTGTGTCCTGCTTTGAATTGTTTCTAAGCTTGCTAGCATGGTCATGACTAGTTATTTCTTTAAACAAATTGTTTGTGTTCAGAATGGTCTAGGCGAGTTGTCTAGACTGTTGTTTGTCTTGTTGCATTGCTAGAGGTATAGGAGAGTCTCCTGGTCTTGTAATGCATTTATAAATTAAATATGATCTTGTTTTGCATCAATATATGGTTCCTGGTCCTGTGATGCATTCTTAAACTGGTTAAGGTGATTAGATGAGTAATCTAATCTCTGTTTTTTTTACATTTAATCATAGTATTGCTTAAATGGTCATTAAAATTTGCCTAAATGTCTTGTTATTGATGAGTTATCTTACATGTGCATTTAGAGAATTGGTTGCTTGGATTTGAACTGAATGAGTTGTTTGGATTCAGTCCATTGCATCTTGTTTAACATGATGGATCAGACTTGGTGAGTTATCAAGGTCTGGTCCTAATGTGTGGTCTGATTCTTGCTGGAGTTTGAGTGGTGTTTCAGGTACACAAGAGGTGCTCTTTGTCCATCACCAATCCAAGATAAAGAAGATGACATTGCCCATGAAGTTCAGAGCCTATACGGTGTGTACATTCTTGACCATGGAGAGTTGGCTTGTGTGTAGAACTGGTTAAATTAAGCGCAGCCTGTTTGGGTGTTAAGCTCCTGGTTCAAGAGACACACAAGGAAGACCATCACCTAAGTCATGAGGAGACCGGTGGTCCAAAGGTAATGGATCAGAGATCAAAGGTGGATCAGTTGGCTTAAGCGCAAGTGTTGGAACTGTTGTGCTCCTGGTTCAAGCTAAGTACTGCCCACTTCCAAGCTTGGTCCTTCCCCTAATTTCTCCGGATCAAGCTTGAGGAGGGGTATTGGTGTGCAATTCTGAGGATCCAAGTCGTCCATTGTCTCTTGGCAAGAAGTGGAGTTCACTCTTGCATCATTCCTCACCAGCCGGATCAAAGAAGCCATCTTGACCTCATTGCAACCTTGCAAGCTTGGACCTTCACCTATTCTGGGTTCCAAGCTTGAGGGGAGTCTAAATGAGCTTCTTATGATCTGAGAGAAGTGTTACCAAGTGGGGATTCAAGTGGAGTTCACTCCCCACCATACTGATGAAAGGAAAGCACCTTAAACTCATCTCAATACATTCATTATTGTTCTTATACTTAAAATGTTATTGAGCTTGATGTGATGAGTGCATTTCCTTAAGAACTGATGCACCTTTGGAATATCAGGTACCATACTAGGAGCTCTCTGAAGTAGAAGCTGGTGGTCACTAAAGGTCCCTGAAGATGGCGAGTAGGCAGAAGGGAGGGGGAGACACAACCAGCCTTAAAGAAGAGTTCTGAGATGTTGGTGTGTGCAAGTGATGGAATTCATGCTTGCACCACAAGATTAGGTCATGATCCAGAGCCTAAGGACTCCACCATGATAATTCTGAAGTCCTTAAGTTCAATGGCCAATCCCTAGGCTTTGGAGAACTCTACTTTTTTCCTTAGTTGGTTTTATCCCTAAAGAGGGTTTTCTGGTTAAGATTTTTAATGAGAGAGATTCTTCAAGGTTCCAAGCTTGTCCAAGGATTACCTATGGTCAAGCTTGAGGGGGAGTGTTGAGATGAAGAAATAAAAAAGATCAGTAGTAATAAAGCAAAGTGCAGTGAAGTGCAGTGAAGTGCAGTGAAGTACAATGAAGTACAGCGAAGTGCAATAAAACGTATTAAATTCTGAAAAGAAAAATAAGATAAGAAAGAAGTTGAGGAGACTCAATATGGATGTTGGGAGCCTCTAGAAGTAAATGGAATCAAGTTTGGATGGAAGTACTCAGTTTTGGTTTGAATTAGACAAGAAGAACTCACACGGTTGCTTAGAAGAAGCAATTGACCTGTCATTTTAAGAAGACTGTGCATGTCACTCTTACTCTCTCTGGTTGAGCCAGCCTTAACCTTATCCTCCTTGTCCTCATCAGATACCCCACAATAGTATTTATTTAATAAATCCTATTTTAGTATTAGGTTAATGTGTGTATTTGTCTATTTAGACATTGTTGTATTAGATTGTAAACTAAGCAGAGGAGTTCTCTAGCTTCAGCTATTCTTTGGTTCTTCATTCTTATTAATCTCTTGTATTCTCTGGTTATTAAATCTCTCAAGCAATCTCTCAAATCTCTCTTATTCTCCAATACTCTCCATTGCAGTTTTTTTATATTTTCACTTACTCTCTTTATTTTTTTCTCTTCAAATCCAACCACTCTCTATTGTAAACACCATTCACACACCATAATTTTGTCTATTTTCACATTTATGGTGTTTAAGCAAGACCATGGTAAGAAGTTGTGTTCCTAGACACAAGACATTGGCGATCTCTGCATTTTCCTAGAAAAGAACGAGTCCTTTGGCGTCTCTGCTACAAAATATCTGGGACTGGTCCCCAATTCAGTCTATTTTGAAGGCATTCACACCGGCTTCGGCTTTTACGAACTCAGCTCAAACACTGTCCGCGATCTCACACATTTGGGCCCTTTCTCCACCATCTACTTATGGCTTGCTCCTCTGGAATAAATCAGTTTTTGGTTCTTTTGTTTTCACAAATATCTTACTATTTGGATTGGTTGTATCTAAGCTGCTATTTAAATTATTTATTTGATTTTTCAATCTTTCACCATGTGGTTTGCTAAATTATCCAGCTGCAATTAATTTTTGTATGTTCATAACAACTGTGGGTTGAGTCATTTAAAAAACACTTCCAAGGGTTACAAAATCGAATAGGCTGACAACTCACAGACAAGAGATAGCATTGTAGACAAAGAGAGATCACCCAGGCCCATGTAGCGGACCAATAGTTTTCTATTTGCATTCTTCGTCAAACCGGAAACTCCTAAGCTCAAAGCTGGGTTACGTCTTGTGAAACACCAACTCTCTCTACTGAGAACGAAATGTCAAATATCATTCCATGTTTCTTTTACTTCTACAACACATTTTCTCTTTTCATGAAAATTATCGTAACTTCCATACCCATGTACGAAGTCAAACAAAACATGCTTATGGTCCATGATTATATAAACTGTGTAACAGATAAATAAATAATGTGTTTTTAACAAGGCTTGAAGTGTAAAGGCACTAGAAAGATTCTTATTCAAACAGTCAGCTTAACGGGCTGCAACATGTCTAAAAATTTGAGAAGCAAGTGTATCTGCGTTTTCTCTATGTCCCTTTAAGTTTCTGGTTATATGATAGGCGGTCAGTGAAGTGTTCTGTTTGTTTGTAATAATGCGCACGCAAGTAATCAACCGTGAATGTAACTTGAATATTGTGAACATATTTATTTGTGTTTTCGAAATATTTATTGTGTCATAAGGGATGTGAATGCTAACTGGCTTAAAATAGTCTACGAATTGGGTTTTATCCCACTACCCGCACTATCTTGTGGTGTAGTTGTTGTAGCTTAGTGCGTGGTAAATGTCTTTGTAAATAATTAATTAACTACACAAGAATTACTTAAGTGATTTTGTTTATGGAATAAGAAGTTAATGGCGGTAGGACAAATGACAAGATAATAACTTAAGTGATTTTGTTTCATGTGATTATAGTACAGAATCTAGATTTCTAGTTATGGAGTTTTCAAGTCTTTCACTTATTTTTTTCATTCTTCGAGTACTATTAAAACACATGTTGATGATGATATGTTTTCTTTTTAATTATTAACACTTATCATATAGTTTTATAGATGTTGTTTGTTTATTGCCAGAGATATATTATACAATTGATGCTGGGTTGTTATTTTATACTCTCTCAGTTTTCATATGGTTTTGTAGGGTTTTTTTTTGTCTAAAGAGGTTGTTATTTTAGATTATGTTAAAGTTGTGATTTGAGTTATTGTAGTTTTGAACTTTGTATATGTGTGTGTGTGTGTGTGTTTTAGCACATAGATTTAAAATAAACTTGCTACCAGTAACCGGCAAGGGATCTCACAAACATGTAATCGGTACTATCTGAAGAACTACACTGTTATAGCTCTGGTTAATACTTTTTGATCAGCATAATTCAGATATACCAACTATGGAGTTGAGAGCTTTTTTTGTGTTAATCAGGTAACAAGACTTGTCACACACACATTTCTCTACGATGTAACCTTTTTGTAGATATTCTCTCTTAAGGTTTGAATGTGTGTCTTCATTTTGTCAGCAAGCAACTGCTTACATATGCTTGCATGCCGGGCAGACATACAGTGTTGCCCAAAGATAAAATCTTAGAGAATGCGTGAAAGTATGAAACAAATGTAGCTCAAATCAGATTAGACTAGTAAAAGCTATGCTAAACAATGTATTTTCTTGGCTTAGACAGCAACATCTATTAGCAGTTACCCCAATGCCATAATGAACAAGAAGCCCTTGGTCGAAGGTTCTTCAGGTGTTACTGCCACATTACCATCACAAGGCATGGATATGGTGATTCCCAGAAGGTAAAATCTTAGAGAATACTTGAAACAAATATCGGATTAGACTAGTAATGATGTATGTTTATGGTCTTGATGGGTCAAGCTTGTTGTTCTTCAAAGGATATGGAAGTTCCCAAACTCTTCTGACGGCACACCACAAGTCACTTGATAACCCACGACGAGAGATCATTCAAGACCCTGTACCGACCAAAAGTGTTCTGGTTTACGTCGTGTGATACGCCATCTGTAGAACGAAATTTTAATATCATTTCAACTTTTATTTTTACAACGTTACAACGCGTGGTCTTTTTTCATGTAAATTATCGTAGCTCCCACTTCAACGTACGAAGTCAAACAGGACATGATAATGGTCCGCGATTAACAAAACTGTGTAATAGATGAAGGAATAATATATTATATATGTGTTTAACAAGGCTTGAAGTGTAAAGGCACTGTAAGGATTTGGATTCAGTTATAAAATAACTTTGTATTCAAACAGAGCAGATTAACAAACTCAGAGAACAAAAATTCGCACAAGACATCACAACACTCGATTCAGACACTAACTCAGGTTTCAGATCATCTCAAGAGTCCATACGTGCCTAGATTCAGAATATCAATATCTTGGAGCTGCAAAATATAAAAACAGCCAAAGGTTACAAAAGCGAATTCAAATAGGCTAAAACTAAAGTAGCTTTTAGATTGACATGTCCCAACAGTCCAAAAGATGCACACATACCTCTACCAAGTGTTGCTTCAGGCAGCCTCTCTACTGAGTACTTGCGCCCCGCCAAATACATGATAGGCACACCAGGAACCTGCAATCCAACAAAAGATATTTCAGCAATGGACGGCTAAAAAGAAGAGAGAAGTATTGACGTATCAAACTATCTTTTACCTTTCGAATCCTTCGTTTCAAGTCTCTATCACAAGTAGCCACTATGAAGCACTTATGCTGTATATAACAAGAACAAAGCATATCAAAGAGACAAAAGATACAGAAAGAACTATGATACAAGAGCATTTTTAGCTATCCCTTAGAGAGTCATTATTACCTGAGTAACTCTGTCAACGAGACAGTCATCAGCATATGTTCCTTTGTGTACACAAGGAAGTCTCTCAAAGCGAGGATCCTTCGCAATCCTGCCAAAACTCACTACCAATTAAGAATCCACGTACGAGAACAAATGAACTTAAAAATCCTTAGAGAAAATAATACCTTAGCGCGACACGATACTTCTGGCCTAACTTCTCAAGCTCAGCCATGACGCAGTCCGTGATACAAGGAGTGCCTTCAAATCCAAAATCATCAAAGGAGAGTAAGAATATAATTAAAGACACATACCAAAGATGAAGTAACTCACATTTTGCGTTCAAACAGAACATCATCCCACTCTCAATATCAATCTATTGAATACAACAAAAGGACACCAATTAGAACCAGGTCCACGAAGACAATAACAGCACAAGGATTCGATTATAGCTCTGCAGTAGAGAGATGCAATTGAACATAAGTACCTTGTTCTGAATAGAGAAGTTGATGAAGTTAGTGTCGACCAGAACTCGGAAAGGAGGAACCATATTAGTGTTGTGCGAAAAGAACATCCCTGATGGAACATTCGGACTGATCCCAAACAAACAAAGATCAAATCTAAATTCTAAGGAAACGGACAAGAAAATTACAAATTGGCACAAAAGGAGTAAGCTAAGCTTACACGTTTCTGGGAAGTTCAGTGAGGTCCTTCTTGTTTGGATTCAAAACCTCCTCCTTGTAACTGGTGAAAGGAAAACAAATCCGCATTGAAGAAAACCCACGTGAAAAAATATCAACTTTCAATGAAGAAGAGTCGTTTTACTTACTGCTTGAGAGCTTTGTGGCTTATCGTCTTCTTCATAACAGCAAACTTCTGAGGCTTCTTTGCCCTTCCCATCTTTGAAGCAAAGACTAATAAAACACCAAGAACGAAGCAGGGAGAGAATGAGATTGAGAACCTAAAGTCGGCGGAGGTTGAGAGGTTCTGAGGATTGTTCAAAAGGTATGAGAGACAGAGACGGACATTGAAGAGGACGACCTCTCAAATTTACTTATCTAACCCTAAATAAAAACATCCTAGTATAAGCCCAAGCATGAGCCTACATTTGATGGCCCATGTTAATTTGGGAATGAATCCGGTGAAAAACTGAATTGCCCATGAATTTAAGGGTCGACATTCGGGTACCCATTCTGGTTCGGTTCGTATCTATTCGGGTTTCGAATTTTCACGGTTAAAAATGTCAGCCCCATTGGAATATTTCTAAATTTTGTTTTGGGTTCGGTTCAGATCTTTGAGGATTCGGTTCGACTTCGGATAATTCATTTAAATTATTTTAAATTTTTTAAAATTTATTAAAATTTCTAACAATCTATAAAAAATAATATATTACATATAAATTTGAATAACATATGTCAAATACCTAAACTTAACATATAAATTGGTTTGGCTTCAATATTTGGATAGAAAATCAACATATATTTTAAATATTTTTGGTGTTTTGATTATACTTTAGCTATTTAAAACATTTACTTTTGACTATTTGTATATATTTTTAAGTATTTAGACAACTTAAAAGTACCTTACAGATTTTTTATGTTTTTTTAATATAAATTAAATCTAAAAATAATTAATATATTTAGGTATATAAATCTGTTTTGGATACATTTGAGTACCCAAAATACTTTGGTTTGGATCGGGTTCGGTTTCAGTTTCAATTTTGTAGATACCAAAATTTTGATTCCGTTCGGATATTTAATCAATTTCGCTTCGGATTGGGTACTACTTTTTCAGATCGGATTCGGTTTTCTTCTTCGGATTCATATTTTTTGCCCAGCCCTAGCTATTAAAACTGATTTTTTTTTTAATTTTACTTAGGTGACATCATCATATTGAGTTTCACTAGAAAAAAATTGATAATTATACAATTTTTATGTATAAAACTTCTTCCATTTAATTTTATACAATTTGACTTAATATATCTTAACCAAAATAAATAGATAAAAACCTAGCCAGTTATAATTTTAAATATTTACATATCTATTCATGATTGTAAATTTTAAAAACATATTTTTAGAATCTTAATTTTCATTATGATTAATTAAATCAATATTAAAATATTGGTAAAAAAAAAAATTTAAATCTTAATAAAAATTTGTTATTAATATAATTTAAGTTTAGTTTTTATTACTAGAAATGATGCAAGAAAATACCTAGTTCTGTTTAATTCTATGTGCAAATTGTCTTCCTCCTGCAACAATTCTAAATATCTATGTTATGTAATACCCCAAATGAATGAATACGCCAAAAGTCCAAGTGATAGCTTAAAATGTAAAACGAAGATAACTCTACGTGAAGTTCATCATCCACAGCCATAATAATGATGAAATAATGACTAATGGTAATTCACACTTTATACCACTAGGGGTTTCATAAAGTTTTTTTTTGGGGGGGGGGGGGGGTAGATATTGTTGGATTTAGTGGGTTTTAAAGATTTTGATGGGAAATTTTTGTGGATGGGGGATTTTGCTGGGGGATTCTCAATTCTGCTGCGAGTTTTTTTTTTTTTTAATCTGGTTTTATGGATTCTAGTGAGTGTATCAACCGTTAAAGCATACAATTTTGAGGAAACTGTTTTTTTAGACCAAATAGGTTTGGACATTGGCTCTTTAGTCTAAATTATATTTTGTACCAATGTTGACTCTAATGCCCTTTATTTATTTCTGATTTTTTTTTTTAAAATAGATTTATGAAGCAAAAAAAAATTAAAAATAGTACATAATGATGAAACCCCTATATCTATATAATGATATTTTCTTTTCCTGTTTTAAAAATGTGTAAATAATAATTTCATATATTATTCTACCGAAATTAGAATCCGTATACTACGGATTAGAATACGGAATCCACTTTTTTCACTATTTCTACGAACTGCAGAATATGTTTTCTACGCAGATAACAAAAATCTAAAATAGTTTGGATTACACATTCCACTCTTATCATAGAGTTCTAATAAAAGTAGAAATTGAAATATAAATTCTTACTTAAATCTAAGACTAGTAGAAATCGGAATCTACATTATTACAACGTTCTAATACATGTAGAAACTGATTTCATATCTCTTATTCTACCTTTAGTAGAATCTGAATTCTACGGATAAATATTATTAGATCCGGAAATATAGGAAGAATTTATTAGTAAATATTTGGTTTCCATATTTAAAATTCAATTTTTGTTTAAAAAAAAGAAGAAAATTCAAAGGCAAAAACGTTTTGCCTAGGCACGGGATCGGTCGATCTAGAACGATTGATCTGTACGATCGATTAGATTCTGATAAAGTAAAAAAAAAATCGCGAATAGTGTGGTTTAGGCTCAAGAATCGTCCAAATCAGAGCAAAACTGAGTGAGTTAGAGTTTATGAATGAGGAACCTCCATTGTCTACCTTTTTACGTGATGGCAGAGAAGAGAGTGATGGGTTTGATCCCAAAAACACGAATTAGTAGGTTAAATCGTGTTTACTCGGTTCAAATCAAATGTGAATTAAACCAGGTATAACCGAAGAAAACAATGAAATCGAGTTGGAAGAATTAACTATGATCGGGATCGATCGATTTAGAACAGAGATCGATCGATCTTTGGTAGATCGATCGGTGTAGATCAACTGAACTTGAAAAGGTCGATCAGTTTCTGCTCCGTGTTTTTTTATGTTTTTGTTTAATCATCGAGATCGACCGCTGGGATCGATCAACTCTTTACGGGATCGATCGATCCCGTCATATAGAGCAGTTTCTTTCGTCTTTTTTTTTCTCCGATTTTGAAGATTTTTATTTTGAATTTTTTTTTACGATTTTTAAGTGAATTAAGGAAATTATTGCCATTTAGAAAATATTTAGGCTAATGAGACATAAAGTACTAGAGGTTAATCTAAAGGGACATTGTCCAAACCTATTTGACCTAAAAAAACTATTTTCTCTACATTTTTACAGCAACTGACACCTTTTCTGGTTCTGAAATATGGTTTTTGGAGTAAAAACATGTAAATTTATAAACCAACAATGTTCGTTTATATACATGTATAGGTCCTGTAGGGTGTACACATATCTTACACATCTCAAAGTATTAAAATAGATATTAATCAACTTATATAATTCTGCTGAGCATAATTGATTTTTTTTTTAGTCTTCTAGTTGAAGATTTTGTCAAAAAGGCTTATGCGAAACTGTCGACCAATCCACAAGCTCTATTGTTGAGGAAAGAACACATGTTTGAACTCTTGGGATGTTTATAGTTGTCTTTTTGAGAGTAAAAACGCTTGTGATGGTGGATAGCGGTGTTTATGTTCGGGTTCAAGAGTGATTCAAAAGCAGAAGAGGAGCTTTGCGTGACGGTGAGAGAAACGAAAACGAAGTCGTAGTGCGGAAGTTGGAGAAGTGTAAGCAGCTTGGGGATTAAAGGAATCATGGAGTGTAGGAAGAGGTAGAGCAGATTCGCTAAGAGCAAGATGTTTTCTTCGTCATCATCGATCTGGATGTCTTCGAGGGTTTGACCTTACAGTGACTATGTGAAATACGAGAGAGAAAATGAAATGGATCACTGTTTTCTTTCTTTAAATTCCATCTTTTCAGATGGTATTCTTTAGTGTTGTATGAAGTGTAATCATTTTTTTAATAATCCAAAATAATCTTTGATCAAAACTATTAATAAATTCCAAATTTTCCAGTGAATGGAATTTTGATAGAATTTTTATAAATGTTGAATCCAATAACATTGAAATTGTAAGAACTTTTAAAAATATCATAATCAATAAGAAGATATTTTGGAATAAACTAGGATTTGATAAAATCTTTAATCCAATAAGCTCCATTAGGTGTTTTGCCCGCAATTTTATAGGATTCTAGAAAAGGAAAACTACAATTACCTAATATTTACAACTACACTTTGTTTAGGATTTTAGAAATAAATAAAACATTTATTTCCAATTAATATTAAATAAATTTTAATAATTGGTATTTTTACAATTAGTTTTTAATATCAATACTATTTGTACAATTTTTATTAATTAAATAGGTTTTACTATCATATTTATCATCAAATTCTCAAAAACTAGGAGGAAAAACAGAGGGAGGAGAAAAATAAAAAGTACCAGAAGAGCAATCCCAATATTAATATGGGGATGAAGAAGGATCAACAAAAAGGTGCCAAGAACAAACAAGTAGGTCAAGCCTCCTCACGGTGGCACTAGAATGATGATTTGGCTTTTTGCGTGGAATACTCGGGGCTTCAACAAAATGCGCAAACAAACGGCTCTTCGTTTTTTGATTCAATCTGCAAAACCCTCATTTGGTTGTTTAATTGAAACTCGTGTTCAAGAAGGCAACATTGTATCTATCCTAAACTCTGCTTTACCTAATTGGAACTTTCTCACAAATTATGATCAACATCGCCTTGGCAAAATTTGGGTCTGCTGCGCAGAAAATATCTCAGTTTCACTTATATCCAAGACTGTTCAGTGCATCACAGTTTGGGTCACCTCAGATACGGGAGAGCAGTTTCTCTGTACCTGTGTTTACGCTTCTAATTTTTCTAATTGGAGAGACAGCGTCTCTGGAGTAAAATGAATTATATTAGAGCTCAGTATGTTACAACCGGCACACCATGGATTGTAATGGGTGACTTCAACGAGACTTTGGCGTCTTCTGAACACTCCAGGGGTACCATATCAAACGCGAGCCATCGGGGAATGCATGCGTTTCAGTCTGTAGTCACGATGTGCAAACTTACTGATCTTGCCTCTCTTGGACATTCTTTTACGTGGATAAATAAGCAACATAATAATCCTATCGCTAAGAAGCTGGAACGTGTGCTTGTGAATGATACCTGGCTGGATAATTTCTCACAGTCTTATGCAAGTTTTGAGCCATCAGGCGTCTCTGAACATACTCGATGTTGGGTTCGACTGGAGACTCCTTATGCTGGAAACAAGCGTCTTTTCAAATTCTTCAACTTTCTTGCTGATCACCCGGACTTTCTGG